ATTTTATTATCGTAGATGCGAATATAATTAATTATCTATACGTTTGAGTCATTTATTTTACATTTTTAGCTATGTAAGTATTGTACAATTGCTTAAAAAATCTATAAATACAATAATTGATTTGTATGTATTTAGAAAAGTCCCGCAGCTCCTCCTTATTTAAAAAGGATTATTCTTATTTGCTTAAGGTCAAGGAACGTAGTTTTTGTATAATCGTCTAAAAATAAGCAAGAAGCTTATTTTTAGAATTGACTTATGTTCTGCAACAAATAGATCAATTATAATTTCTAACTATTTACATGTTTCTGACAAACGCGATACTTGGAGTTAGTTACATTTCTCAAGAAGTTACTTTCTTCAGAATAGTTTCTCCTTTGAACAGATAGAAATATAGTGCCTGTTGTAACCTAAGCTTTAAGAAGAAAATAAAAACAGAAATGCTGTGTAAGAATTCATTATTATATTTTCGAATTTATTTGTAGAATATGAATCTATCGTGAAGTGAAAACTTATTAGGCGAAAATACTCAGGCCATGTCGTAAAAATTGCTTGTAATTACAACCGAGGCACCGAATATTTTTCCAGACAAATGTCCAAGTTGTCGAGAACAAAACCTCATTTCCCTTCTCCCCCCCCCTCCCATTCAACCTCATAGTTTTCGGTTTGGCTCTAAAATGTCCAATTGTATGAAGTACTTACATGAAAATAATAGCGGAGAATGAATTTTTATGGCGTATTATATAAAATAGTTAGATCGCTAGGAGTTTTGGTATGGTTTCCATCCTTTGCGAGGAACCTCTTGGGATTGAGACGACGAAGCCGCTTCCTCGGGGAAGCTTTTAGGTCGCTTTCTTCAGTGGGCTTCTGTTTTGAAGACGGAGAGGGACGGACGGCGGTCAACGAGAGGGGGGGGGTGTCATGAGACAGTGAGAGTGAGAGAGAGAGAGAGAGAGAGAGAGAGAACGAGTAAGTGCGATGGAGGGCTGGGGAGGGGGGACGAAGGTCGCTCTCTATTATACAATAGCCTGGGCCCCACTCCCCGAGCCGCGTGCGTCTGGCCCCGCTCTCAAAATCGGTCCCGAAGGCGCGGGCGCACGCACTCGCACGCGACAGCCGCGCGCGCGCGTTACGCTCCGCTCTGAGCTTTTGCGCGTCCCCCACGAGGTTCACGAGGATCATCCGTGTGTGCAGCGGTGCTCTCTTGTGCTCCCGCGTGAACGTCGACCGTGGCGAAGGGAATGCCAAGCTGCCGAGGTTCGCTCTCCTTCGAGTCGAGCATTTGAAAAGGTATTTTCACTAGTGCCAAACACAGTGTCTGTTGAATCGTCACAACCGTCGCAGTAGCTGCTACCGCCGCAACCGCCACATTTGCCGCCACCGCCGTAGCTACCGTTGATGTTGTTTTTGTTGTTATTATCGCTGACGGCGACAACGTCCTTGTAGTCCGGAAAATTAGTTGTTTTTAATGGAGCTTTGGAATCTGTTTTCTTCTCGAGTCTATAAATTAAAACTGTTGCACGTACTTGAACTCGATGGGCTTTGAATTCCGTGATATAAATTACAATACCGAAAATGTATCTCAATTTGAAGTTAATCCATGACTGTTTGAAGGGAGGTATGAAATTAAGAGATGAGAATGATTTCCATTTATATTATAATTATTCCCTGTGCCTAGACATGTCATTAATCATTGTTAGATTTTATTTTCTCAAGTCTCGTCTAATTTTCGTTACATGACATTAAATGGTTTCGAATACTATTGACAAATTATCAATTTGTCATGGAATGGTAAATATTAGATTTTTATTTTATATACGCAGATATTTATTTTATTTCTTCTACATGGCTACGTTATGTTAACTACTCAGCATACACTAATAATAAAAATATTAAATTTTACCGTATCGCTTTTATTGTTGTACTTATATATTTAACAATCTAAAGTATATTATATTAGATTTAGTTATAAATTAAAAACTTTATTATTACATAGTGGAAAATGCTTTAAGGGTTTATAAAAATTATTTATAACAATTAAGCCTTGTATTGTTTTCATGTACCTAACTTAGTATTGTTCTTTTAATCATCAATATCATAATTAATACATAATTATTAAAATTTAAAAATAATTACAATAAGTTTTTCTCAATATTACGGAATATATTTAATTACATACTTTATGTATATTTTATCCAAAATCAATGTCACGAGTATAAATATTTATTAGACTTGTTATTATTTATTATTTTATTATTATTAATTGTGTAATTATTATTTAATAAAATTATGTAAAATACCAGTTTATAAAAGATAAATATATGTAATATCGAAAGATGTCTGCTAAAATTTATCGAATATAAAAGCATTTTCAAAGTCTATTATATACGTTAATAATATACTTCAACCTAATAATTGTAGTACTATCGTATCTTGACAATAATTAAGAGAACGAAGTACCTACAAAATAAAAATATAAATACACTTTTATTGAATACAATTTTATATACAACTATGCAAGGATGATTACTTATGTTATATGATGTTACAATAAATTTTGAAAAATATTATTTGAAAAACACACTAAAAATTAAAACTACTATAATAGAAAAATTTGTATTTGTTTAGTCTGTTTAATAGAGCAATTATCTAGTAATATAACTAATAAATTAGTTGATAGGCTTATATTTTATTGCTTAAAAAGTAACAAATTGGTTTTAAATAGCAAACATCTCTTTATACATTAGTCAAAGTAATTAGAAAAAAAAATGAAAATTCCAAATGAAAATAGAGTTGATTAGTTTGAATGGACTATTAAATGAAATTTTGACAAAAGTACAAAAATAATTTACGTAATATGTTAAAATTGAGTAAGTAACAATTTCTAAGAACTCCATAAAGTGGAAAAAAATTTAGAAGCCAGAAAATGCGCGTTGCATGAACGATATTATTATATACGATAATAAGTATTACACATCTGTGTTGCTAAACACATGAATTACATTACTTTTCACGTATTGGGTGAAACGTGTCTTCAATTTTCATGTTATAAATATCACATCGATTAAATCCGCAAATATCTAAAAGCGCAGGCTTTGATGAGAAGTTTCCCGGTCTAATAATTGTTATGTGATTTGGACATAAATACGCAAAAACCATTTTCCAAGTCAAGGAAAGTTAGAATTTTTTTATATTGCCCGATAATTTTATGTTCAATATTGATTTTCTTACTTAGCAATGAATCTTTAAAATTGAAAGTTTTCCTGTCGCATATCTGACATAGTATGCGATAGTTTCACTAAATTTCTTATTTATATATTAGTGTTAATTTTGTAACAGAAAATTCAATTGATAGTTTATATGTGAAGGTAATTAGCTAGTTAATCGTCATTAAGTTGATACTATTCTTCGAAGGACATGTAAAATATACATAGAGAATTTCAAAATATGTGATAAAAAGAACCATTAAATTAAAAAGATAATTTACAACTGAAAAATTTTTGTATATTTTCTAATTTATTTCATATTTTGTATTTTATGTATTTCTTTTCTAATACTACATTTGCAATGTACTTTTCTACAAAAATCTTTCAAAAATAACTAAAACACTGTTAAATTTCATTTTATCCTAAACTATTATTATTGTTATAACAACAAAAAATAATTCTGTTAAAATAAATAACGTAAAAGTCAATTGTTATAGATAAATATCAGACAGATGTAATGTAAAATTTATAATTTGGTTCTTACTAGATTTGTATGTTATTAATTATTAATATACCCATTGTACTTGCATTATTCATATTGATTTACCACAGGAAATATAAGTAGAAAAAATGTTATTTGGAAATTGCTCATATTAATAAACGAAATGATTTTTATTTATTTTTAAAAAATGTTAACATTGAATTAATAAATTAAATTTGAATATACTAAACTTTCAAACCTGAAATTTTAAAAATAGCAATAAGGAACATATTATTGTACTTCAATAGTCAGTTTTCATATATTGAAACATATCCACACTAAAGTATTAAATTTATCGTTCACTAAAAAAACTTTCTTTTTCCATAAGTATGACGTTATTTACTGATTAATCATTGTAAATAAGTTTCAAAAGCTCCAAATTGGATGTATTTTTCACTTATTTTATATTTCATAAAGTTAATTCATAGCAATTTTTTATTAGATTATGTAGACAATCGTGTATGTTACTGGCTAAGAACGCTGAGCATTAAGCCGAGTATTTCTGTAAAACAAGCTGCAATAAAATAAATTTTAAACGCTTGTATCTAACTTTTCATCTTTATTTCAGTTTATAGTTTTCTTAAAAAACTTATTCGACTTTTAACAATAGCTATTATTTGTTCAATGCTCTTAAAGGATATGTATACTTTTATCTCATATGTTATGTGATTTTCAACTGATAAAACTGGTTGTTATAATTTTTTCATATCTTAACGCATTCTTCATTGTATATAACGAAAAATTAAAAAGCGCTGCAGTAGGATTTCTATAATTATATTCAATAATAACCAGTAACCCCATCTTCATAAAATTAACAACATGGAATGACATATTTGAAAATATGAGTCAGTGAATGGAAATTTACACAACGTTCTTATTATCCTACGCAGGTACAAATCATAGTTATTTATGAAAGCTATTTGAAATACAATAAATCGTCAAAAACTCTCCATAAAAGCAAGTTCGAGCTCTTCGATAAAACTGTAGTTGTCAAGACGCTGAAATATAACAACCAAATTGTTTAAAGCCGTCTGATAAGAAATTCAGATGGATAAGCTGGTAAATTTAATGGTCAAAGGGCATCTTCATTATCGAATGCGCGGTGAAAGTGAGGGCAGACCGAAGATGATCCAGTGCGTAAAAAAAATTTAATTGTCCTTGATTATTAATATACGTTCATACATAGAGTTTAAAACTCAACGAATCCAATTGTGTTCTAATACAAAAATTAAGACGTATTTTATTTGTATGTATAGAATGAGGAGGAGAGGCGCAAGGAAACAAGGAAACTTCGAGAGCGAAGGAGCTCTGATCTTGCTCCTGGTAGCATTGGCTCCTGTTATCTGCTCCGCTGGAATCCTGGACCCGTGGCAATGGGCACGGAGCGACAGGATAGAAGTCAATATCCCATGGTTGCCATGTAAGTACCGATTCGCAAGGCTTCTTTTTTCTTTTCATTTCTAGTTATTAGTTATCTATTATATACCATACAAATAATATCGTTACGGTATTGATAGTTTTGCAAATTTTTTACTACTG